TGGATGTGGCACTTGGTGCCATGGGCTAGTGACCACAGTAGGGTTGGACTCGATGATCTTGGAGGTCTTTTCAAACTGGGTTGACTCTATGATTCTTTGATTCTATGTTAACATCACCTTCTTTTAATATTTTCTCACTGGGGGTGTTTCCTTGGCCCTTGGGGGTCCTCAGCCTTCCTGTGTTCATGTAAACAGCTGACATTTTTCAGTTCATATCTCTTATTAATTGAAGCGTGTTCAGAAAAGCCTGTTCTGATCCTCCCTATTATAATTTTCCAGCTATACCTTTATCAGCAAACACTTTACACTTGACCTGGAAGGGAAATGCTATTCTGCAGATGTTTCACACACAGACATTATTACAGTGGAACAATCAAATCTTGTCTAGTCTTGAATTCTCCTCAACAGCATCACACAGCCAACCACACACCACTGGTACCCATTGAAGCTATTACTAATTTGTGCCAAATAATGACTGACTCATAAGCTGAATTATAAGTGTTTCATGGTATTTCTTCAAACAGTGCTAAACAAAGTCTTAAATGTGTCAACACTGACTAATTTTTAAGGACTGTCACCCACAGTATTTGAGCTGATTAACCAATGCTGGGAAGAAGCTGCTAGTATTGAGCTAAAAGTCAATGTCCTTGTCAGGAAGCGTCCATAGAGAAAATGAGCCAAAAAACCAGCATAAAAGGGAAAAACAGGAGCTGAAGGTTTTACCTCACTGTCTGGGCTGGGCTGGATGACCTCCCAGGTCTGGGAGTCCACGTCGTAGCAGTGGAGCTCGTTGGGCAGGGTGTTGTCTGCAGCCCCCCCGAAAACGTAGAGGTGCCGGTCGAAGGCGACCATGGTGTGACCGTAACGCCGCTGGGGCGGGGGCGGAGAGCCCCGCAGCAGGTGCTCCGTGGGGATCCGTGTCCAGCTGGGGCATTCAACAGGAAACAGGGCATTTGCTCACAATTCTCTTAAGGTTTCTAACTCAAAAGCACAGAGGAGATCTACAACAGCACCCACTGAACCTGCATGACAGCAGACAACAACTCACTACAGTCTGCTGAGATCTGTGCCAGCTCTGCTCAGCTTCTGACTAAGCATGAGACAAAGCCAAGGTGGTTCCCAAGTGTGCTTGTGTGAACCTCAGCAGCTCAGAGACCTCAGCCTGGGCAGAAATAGGTCTATTCTCACACATTTTAACAGCCATAGAATCATGGAACGTTAAGGGGTTGGAATGGACGTGAGAGATCATCCAGTGCCAATCCCTGCCCTGGGCAGGGACACGTCCCACCACAGCAGGTTGCTCAAGGTTTCAGCCAACCTGGCTTTGAACACTGCCAGGGCTGGGACAGCCACAGCCTCCCTGGATAACCTGTGCCAGTGTCTCACCACCCTCACAGGAAAAACATCTTCCTAATACCTAATCTAAACTTCCCTCTTTCAATTTCTCCCCATTCCTCCTTTTCCTGTCCCTGCAGTTCCTAACTAAGAGTCCTCTGCAGCTTCCCTGGAGCCACTTCAGCTCCTGGCACGTTGCTCTGAGCTCTCCCCACAACCTTCTCTTCTCCAGGCTGAACAGCCCCAACTCTCTCAGCCTGTCCATACAGGGAAGGTGCTCCAAACCTCTCATCAGCTCTGTGGCCTCCTTTGCACTTGCTCCAACAGTTCCATGGTCTTCTTACATTAGAAGCCAACCCTTCTAAGGACATCACTCCCATACCATGTCCCATCTGGAGCAGGCATCATTCCCTGTGACAGCACCATTTCAGCCCAAGGTTGTTGGCTGATGTTTCAGTTGTGGTTCCACTTCAGGCAGGAACCAGCCAGACCAGGCTGGCAGCACACACCAGTACATCTGCATTCCCACTTTTGGATATTTTTATCCCATCAGACCTGTCACATTTTTAGAGCAAGTCACACCCAACCTCTCAAACTGAAACTCAGGATTTAACGGACACTTGGCCTTTGCCACTTCCCAGTGATGACTTATGAACTGGAATTTCACAGCACCTCTGGCTTTAATGAGGTAATCACACAATGACTTCTAGGAAGGTAACATTTGGCATCCCATTCTGAGCACACTAAGATTCACACTTGCTATTTAAAGTGAATCTACTGAATTTTCTGTTCACCTGCCAACAAAGACCAATCTGACACATGGCAAATGACAAAGTCTCATGAAAACAGTCCATATTTCATCTTATCTCCCTTCCCTCCTCAGGAGATGCAATATTCCTCCTCAATACCCTTAAGTATGAACATTTCTCAACTCAAGCAGTCAAGGATTATGTGGATTTTGCACGACTTAACTGCCTACACTTACATCTTTTCCTTGAACTCAAACTGGAAGAGATTATTGGTAATCTTTGCTCCACTCTGGCCAGAGAAAACAAACATCTTGTCTTTGCAAACTGCCACGGGAAAGTTACAGCAGGAAGGAGGAATTTCACCACTTTGTTCAATCTGAAAGATAATGAAGTTCAAATTGACAAATGTTTTGTTGCAGAGCCCTGGGCGCAAATTGACAAATGTTTTGTTGCAGAGCACAACTCCACACACTGAGGATGCTGCAGGGCCCTGGGCACAGGCACACTGAGCACTGTGTACAGACACCTGGGCCCTGTCAGGCTGGGACAGGTAATCGACTCCGGCTGTGCTTATAGGTCAGCACAGGCTGATTTTCCATAGATAAAAGGGATGGGAGGCCATGTTTCCAAAGCTCCCAGAACTGTTAGAATGAGGACTCTGATCAGCCTGCCAGCAGGGCTCCCAGTCCGTGGCAGTGGTCAGAGGGGGAATGCTGTGGTCAGAGTGAGAATGCAATCCCTTTCACAGGGGACACAGCAAAGCCCCCATGGGCAGTGCAGGTCCAGTTCACAGATTCTCAAGCAAAAATCCCCTTTTCATATATATTTGGATTTCCAAATACCCAAACCAAATGAAATTTGAACTGTTTCTTTTCATTTGTGGGACATCCTGGAGAGAGCAGTGCAGTTCAGTGTGGGAAACTCTAAATAATTGTGCATGAAAACCAAAAGAGGAAATTCTAGTGTTAGTTGGCGTTAAAGCTCCTTACCTCATCCCAGCATGTGAGCTCTCTGTCCTGCAGGCCAATTGTCCACATGTCATTCAACCTGTGTCAGAACACAAAAACTGCTCGATTTGAAACACTTCATTTTTGCAATGGCATTGAAAGGACAGAGATCCTATTCTATCAGCATTTCTTCTCCTGCACAGGAAGAATCCAACACCTGAATGTTACAGCCCCACCTCAGCTTGCATTAGCATCTCTCTGGTTATGAGCACACTGCAGTTAACAGCTGCACACAGTGACTCACCCTGGAGCGCAAAGATTTGAGCTATTTAATCTAAGGATTTTTACAGAAACACCCTCGTTACCTGCCTCCTCCTGCTCATCCCTAAGTCTGACCACAACAATTATTTACATGCCTGAATCCTTCCTTAAATCCACAGGGGAGGACAGAGCAGGTAACCTGATGCATCTCTGACTCTGCTGTTCCCAGGACAAGTTACTCACAGTAACTACAGATGTTTCCTTTGTTCAAATCTGCCTGGAGGCTCCAGTTCCACAAAAAGACATTTTTAAGCGTGATTAGACATATTTGACATACATTATAAGCTTCTCTCACCCACTCCCTCCTTCCAGCTACCCAAGGCACTCGGGGACACCCTAAGCTGGCACTGAGCAGTCCCACAGGGTCATGCATCTTATACCAGATCCTCCTCCAGAAATAACAAGGAGATTCCATCTGTCTTCCCAATTAACAGCAGTTGTCCTAGAGATTTGAGGAGCTGGTAACTTTTCTGCAGATTCTCATCAGAAGAGGAGGCAACCCAGGTCCTTGTTTGTGACAACCTCTGCGTGCTCTCACAATGCAAATACTGTGCATCAACAGAAATTACTCCTCGAGTTCATCAAGACAGAAAAAAATGTCATGTTCAGAACCGACTCTTCCCTGATAGCCCAACACAAGGAGCTGCTCTGGGACACAGCACCAGCCTTTCCCTAATTCCTCAGTACCACTCATTTGCAGCCTTTCCCCACCCAAAATCCCATCTCTCTTCAGCCTAGATATCACATATTTTCAGGGATTTTCAGAGAAAAAGCTGACACATTGCTCTTAGTTCTGTCAGGTGACTTCACAGCAAATCCAGGCTTTCCTCTCTAAGTCGCTGGCCTGTGCAGGGATCTCTGAGTAATGAGCATTTGCCACATCTCAAAGACCATGTGGCATCCTCACAGCCAAGTAGGCTGTCAAACTGCACAGCCACAGCCACTCTGAGTTACCAGAGCTTTAGGTTTCAAGCACATACTTACTGGAACCTGAACTGATGAATTGCAAAAATGTGATGCCCAACACCAGGCTGGGTCTGCAAAGCTCCAGGGGTGTGTTTAAATCCCTTGGGATATGGGAGTGTCTCTACAGGGGTGGAAAGAGAGGGGCTGGATGTCATGAAACCCCCGAAGAGAGGGTGATCCCAGCACATACCGAGCGTTGCCATCATATCCAGCGAAGATCCACAGCTTGTCACTGTACACTGTGGCACCGTGAGCTGACCTGGCCACGGGCAACCTGCAGGGGAGGAAAAGCACAAAACATTCTTCTCTCAGCTGCAGAGAGGCTGCAGAGGGACCTGCACTACAGCCAAAATGCATGGGTATGAAGACAATCCCTACACAAAACTGCTTCTGCCACAGACCCTCCAACTCAGAGCAAACCTCCGAGGGCATGTGTTAGTGTTGCACTCTGCTGCCTTCACTGGAGAGAAATCACCTTAGTGCAGGCAGGAAAAAAACAAGAAACAAATCCCAACTCATTCCATGCCAGGCCTCAAATACCCTGAAAGCATTTTGTGGAAAGTAGTTAAACCATGGGACAATTTATGGCATTGTTATGGGAAGGTGACAATCCAGTCACACTGTGAGCACCCCATGTGTATTCCCACACACAGAGCAGCTGCAACACGGAAATGAGACCAGGCTGAGTTGGGGCTGTTCAGCCTGGAGAAGAGAAGGTTGTGTGGAGACCTCAGAGCAACCTGCCAGGAGCTGAAGGGGCTCCAGAGAAGCTGCAGAGGGACTCCTGGTTAGGAGCTGCAGGGACAGGAAAAAGGGCAATGGGGAGAAATTGAAAGAGGAAATTTAGATTAAATGTTAGACATAGGTTTTCCCTGTGAGGGTGGTGAGACACTGGCACAGGTTGCCCAGGGAGGCTGTGGCTGCCCCAACCCTGGCAGTGTTTCATTCCAGGTTGGCTAAAGCCTTGAGCAACCTGCTCTGGTGGGAGGTGTCCCTGCCCAGGGCAGGGGGTTGGGGCTGCATGATCTCTAAGGTCCATTCCAACCCCTTAATATACTATGACACTAACAGAGCTTAGGATGCAGGTCTGGGGTTGTTCAGGGCTTTCCTGAGATGCAGTGCCCACAATGGAAGGTCAAACTATGACTTCTCTTGCTCAGTTTGTTGTGTTTATTGCATGAGCCAGGCTGAGCCCGTGATGCCACCAGGCATCTCTTGGCTTGTCTGAGGTCACTGTGCAGTAGGAACACTTGTCACTGTGGGCAAGGACAAGGACATCTGAGTTTGTAAGACACCAGTAAGTATTACTCTCCAGAACACCTGAAGCTGCTAGAATAACCAGAAAGAGAAACTACTGATGTGGTCTACATTCTAAAACATACCATGGGCTCATCAGAGAAGAGCAACAGTAATGCAGGAATGGACTGTGCATTCCTCTCCACACGTCACAGTAACAAATGTTCCCTCCTCTCTCCCCACTAAAATCAGCATTTCAGAAACTTCAAGTACACAAAGGACTGGAGGCAGAGAGTCTGTATGGCCCATTCTGGGCAGTGGTAAACAAAGAACTGTAAAGCAGTTTGGGTTGGAAGGACTTTAAAGATCATCTCCCTCCACCCCCTGCCATGGGCAGGGACACCTCCCACCAGCCCAGGTTGTTCCAAGCCTTGTCCAACCTGACCTGGAATACTCCCAGGGATGGAGCAGCCACAGCTGCTCTGGGCAATCTGTGCCAGTGCCTCAGCACCCTCACAGGGAGGAATTCCTTCCCAATATCCCATCTAGCCCTGCCCTCTGGCAGTGGGAAGCCATTCCCTGTGTCCTGTCCCTCCAGGCCCTTGTAAAAAAACACAAAGCAGTTGAATCACACTCAGTGTCAGGAATGGCATCCTGAAATGTGCAGAGTCAGCTTTAGGAAGTAATGTATCAGTGGTTTTGAATTTCCTTGGGAAACTGAATCTCAGGGGTCATGTTCATGTAGCACTAACCCATTTCTCTGGTACTCAATGTCTCTGTGTAAGCACAACATCACCTGAGCACTTCCAGGCACAGCTGTGCTTCAGAGCACTCCAAGGAAGTCCAACTTTCATCAGAAAAAAAGTGTAGATTCAACTACAAATAGGCTTCAAACTGGTTTCTGATAAAACTAACCTGAAACTTTGAGAGATCAATAAATTCTGTGTTACCCTTGGAACTGAAACAATTCAAAAGGAAAAACTTCCTTTGCTCCCATCCCTCTGTCATGGATGTGGAACATGGAGAGTAGATTTTAGGCACATTTCTGACACAGTGCACTCTGGAGTGGAGGCCTGACAGAAAAAGACCTTCAGAACCAAAAGCAGTTTTCAGAAAGCTTCAGCTGAGGAAACAGAGCAGCAATCACCCTGCAGCCCTGACACCACCTTGGTACCTCTGACTGCACCATGTGAAACGTCTGCCCAGACACACTCAGGCCCTGGAAGCAGCAACACCAGCTCTTACCTCCCCTCAGTCTTCCACTCTGTCCACTGTCCTGTTGCAAACTTGTATTCAAACAGGTCGTTTTTGTTCTTCAGGTTGGAGTTGGAATAAATGTCTCCAGTGTAACCACCTGGGGAACAAGAACTCCATCAGACTCTGAGGCATTGGGAGAAACTTTAGATTGCACGAAGAAAAGATATTTGGCTAACAGACTACTACAGGTGGGAGATTCCCCCTCCACTCCTTCCTCTGAAGCATCTCTATAGTAATGAGGTTTTCACAGAGTGTGAAGGGGCTGGGATGGAGCTCAGAGATCACCCAGCCCCAACCCCTGCCCAGGGCAGGGACACCTCCCACCAAGGTGGGACAGACTCAAGGCTTTGGACACTGCCAGGGTTGGAGCAGCCACAGCCTCCCTGAGCAACCTGTGCCAGGGTCTCATCACCCTCACAGGGAAAACGTCTTCCTAATATCTAACCTAAACTTCCCCTCCTTCAATTAGGCTTAACTTACTGAGTTTTAAGCCTTCTTTACTTTCAACAAATCAGCAGAACTATTACCAAGCTAAAGCTGCAATGAGCCAGCCATGAGAATATGGCTGGCTCATTGGATTTGGGACTGAATGAGACCCCAGAATTCCCTCATTCCATTTTCACACCAGGACAAGTTCCCCCCAGCACTGCCCCTGCCTTACCAAAGACGAACATGCTGCTCCCATAGACCACGGCAGAGTGGTGGTACCGTGGAGCCGGAGGTGTCCCCGTGGTGAAGGCCCTGCCAGGCACAACAGCAGCACTCAGTGCCCCTGGTCCTGCCTCAGGCACTCAGAGCTGCTGTGCAGACCCAGAGCAGAGGCAACTGTTATTCTGCTATTCCTGAGCATTCCACTGTTTTGGGGCTCTGGGTTACACTTGCGCTTAAGGCTGTAGCATAAATGGATACATTTTGCTGCTGAAACACATTAGGCAGAGCTGGTGAGAGAAGGCTCTGCCCAGTCCAGAGCAGACAGGTGTGAGTCCCTCACACCTCCCTGTCCCCCACAGGGAGGCAGCCCTGGCTCTGCCCATCGCTGTGCTCTCAGCCTCCCCTCGGGCAGGACCAGCCACCCC